AGAAATTAGATTTGAGTACAGTTTAAAGTAAAGAAAGTACGAACCTCTGTTGTAAGATAGTGAGGCTTTGCATTGTTTTGGTATTTATAATAGTTTAAATCAGCTGATCCTTCCAACGCCTTGATAAAAAGATAACATCTATTGATTTCCCTTTTAATGACCCCACATCATGAATTTTCATCAAACTGAAAATATCTAAGCACCTGCTCTAACGGGCCAGTAAAATACTTAACACATTAATATAAGATTTTGCTCCTCCCACCCGGCTGCCCAATTTTGTTTGACCCGGTGTCGAGCTTTATTCCTTATCAAAATGAATCTCGAAAGAACCAAAAATCAGGTGTTTGGTGTCATTTCATCAAATTTTATAGGAAATTAATCAAGAATCTTGAAGACAGCAAAGATCTTTCTTGTTCAACAAAGCTGACCCCTTTTTCATCTCCTCGCGATTGTTTTGATTTTGCTTTGGTTAAAAATTCATAACCACACTCCAAAATAAATCGATGAAAGCTAGTCTTCCCATATAACTATCAAGAAGATTGAAATCGATGGTAATATAAAGAATTTGTCATTTTATTCGCAAATCAAAATCTCTCAAAAGAGAATTTGAAAGTTTGTTCAGCATATTCCCATAAGAATACCCTGGAAAATATCCAGGGGCGGAGTTGCCAATCATAAAACACAAATTTAGAACTTTGATCCTGCGGTTTTCTTTACGAAAGAGATGCCTGCGTCACGATATTCACAAAAGCTGCATTTAATGTCACATTTCGGAAGAAAAGTTTGAAGGGAAAATCCAGACTCACATGATTGTACCAAGAGGAGAATAATTCAGTCAATGAGGTATAAATTAGGACTTTGGTGCCAGTGACATTAATATGGAATGTGTTAGCGGGAAAGTATTTGATTGGACTTGGCAGACACGTCTTTGTAAATTCTTTCAGCACCAACTTTTCGTTTTGTACTTCCTAAAAGTGCCTCGTCACCACGCTCAAAGCCCTTTAATTTGTAGACACGTATACCTGCAATACCATAATATCATTGAATCACCTCTAAGCATTCAATAATACAAGATATGAGTATGACTCTATAATGTTACAAACTTAAATATTCATGCCAATCATTGAAGAGAATTTAATGTGTTCCCCTTCATTTTCTCCCAGAAGACTTCTCATGTCTCCTGTTATAGCTATCCCCCAAAGTGCATAGATTGCCATTTGAAGTGATAAATAACAAAGACAAATGTCAAGACGATCATTATGAACAAAGAAATAGGCGGCGCCAATTGAAATGATGAATACACGTTGTTCGCCCACAATCAAAGACGGTTCTTTCCGTGATTGTTATCAAAGTAGCACATGAAATGTCATAAACTCAAATCATGTGTCCAGCTATTTTAGGACTACATGCCAGACTAGAACAGGACAAAGGCAATCGAAAAATTGCTTTCGAAAGCAAATTATTCGAGATAATCAAGAAATTACCAGACATTAATATTTCCTTGGATATTTCACTTCGTTTGGATTAGGTACCTTAAACTGCGGTAAACCGGTTAGTATTTAGTAGGCCCATGTGCATCTGGAAATCTTCTTACGACGCTAAAAATATCACCGACATCAAATATGAAAAGGTCCTAAAACTTCATTAATTGTGTAGTTTTGGGCTAAGCTCTTACACACAACAGATGTTTTTTACATCATGGATGTTTTTTAAACAAGATAATATATATCATGTTAGACCTTTTTTTCGTTCTTTCTATATTATATGCCTTTAATATTACATATCTTTGACAAAATTTATATAGAGAGTAATGTCTTATGAAAACATTCATTCGTAACATACTAATGATTTCTGGATCGGCATGTATTTCAAGATGAATAATTAAATCAACATAATTATTAGCTCATAACTTTATTCTTTTGATAGATTGAAGTAGACTACATTTGCACTGAATTCAAAATTTAACTTGGGATAATTATGCTATGCAAAACCACAAGTCCTTGTTTTCTGAAGTTATGATCACTAGATGAACTTCTAATACTCACCTCTTGCACGTAAGGCATGCCAATTCTACCTTTGACTTTATTTGCTTTTCAATTTCCTCATTTCCACTACCTTTAAGCGAATTTTCTCTAGGATATTGAATTAACCGTGTAAGGAAAGGCACAGCATGGGCATGTCATTGCATTGCAATCTATCTACATGCGATGAAAGATTTAAGCCTGATTTGAGATACACATTTATCTTTTTGCTATGTTAACCTAAGCAGCTAGTCGGGTGCGCGTGGACATGAGTTTCTACAATCTAATATTGAAAGGAAGTTCGTCAAAAAAACGAATGGCAAGCCCTTATTCTGAAATTCAATTTATTTCCATCAAGGATTTTACAAATGATCTAATTTAACTTAGATAAGAAATCAACAAAAAAGTAAGTGATATGTTTTAGAAAGGCTGGAATGTACAGAACTCTTAAATAAATTACTCATGTAAAGTAAACTCATTTTGTTCTTCCGACGCCTTTTCATGAGATCACTGATTATTGATTTTTTTAAAATTAAAAATTGAAATTAAATAAAGCTAAAACCACGATTACGAAATTCAATTGTACAATTATTTCAATTTTAAAACCAGTATCATTTACTAATATTCTTTAAAAACCCAAAGGTCTGTGTTTTTTTTAGCAAAAAATCATTGCTTTTCAAACCATGCTAAGCCTACGCCTCAAAATTTGTTCAAATCCTATGATTAACTTTCTAAACGTCGCGTCGGCTTGTCTACATGGCTTATGTATAACATATTCCCATCAAAATCTGACTCATGAGACCTTAAAACTATCATTTTATTAAAATGAAAAGGAATGGTTACTTCTTTTCATTCTTTCCAAGGACTTTCCCAATCTTTTCGGCTACTTAAATATCTGTATAATCTCATAACCTCTAATAAATCATCCCTTTCACTCTATTTCCGTCTTCTCTCGACCTGCTTGCCTCGCTCTCAAGAGCTGGAGGAAATCAAAGAGCCCTTCGAAATGCAGTCAATATTTTTAAGATGTTACTGCTATGGTTACTTGAATGTCACTATCGGTTGACAATCAGTAAGTTTGACAGCAAGTGCAATCTTATTGGCCCTAATTGTAGGAGAAATATTTACTTCGATCTTAGAGCATCGATAATTATTTTTATGAGTTTCAAGTTCAAGAAGTTTCAGGAAATAAGGAAACTTGACATCTCTACGGTTTATCTGCTTAGCTCAGATTTTCCCTGATCAGCAATCTTTTAAAGAAAACTTTTATGAATAAAAGTTGGACTTTGTTACCTTTTCTTTCGGGGAAAGATGGGTAGCAGTTGTCTACCCCCAGCATCACCATGGAACGCGTTATACCCTCTATTGACGCCACCCACCCACACCCACACCCACCCACGAACCGACGTCCCTAACCTCTGTATACAATCCACTGGATGCACTGAATTTTTTTCCAAATATACTTTTCTCACTTTGGGACTCTGATTATGACAAGCGATGCCTTTAACGTCACGTCAGCCGTCTTATAGGGGAAGCCGGAATATGTGGGTGCCAGATGCGTGATTCATCCGAGATTTCTTCATGCTTTGACTATAATACTCTACGGTCCCACGCATACACCTGTTAGGGGAATCCTGCGCGAGAACCCCTGCGTGGGACTAAGTCATCGGCATGATAATTATCTGACACTTAAACGCAGAATTAACAACAAAAGAAAGCCTTGACTACTGGTCAAAAACAAAACAAAGAGCAAGTGATAAATAATAACAAACGAGCGGGATGAATTTTGCTTTTGTCTAACTCTTTTTGATTCCTGGAAAACAATGAACGATAGAATCCATAATTCGTCCAATCTTATGGAACTATATGAGCTATATACAACTCGTTTTATTGATTATGTTAAATTGATGAGAAAGTAAACAAAAGGATAATCATTGTGTAGGTATTCGTGTATTAACACCGGTGACCCACCCGCCAATCGTGTATATTTACAGACATGTTTAAAGAGTTAATAACATTAATATTATATAAAGTAAGGTTTTTGGATCTCTTTTTATCTTCACTAAAAGGGAGAGCGGTGATCATAAACGCGTATCTTTAATGTATACAATCGTATACATTTAAAGACATCAAAAAGAAACAATTGTAATACATGTATACTTAAGTTGTAGTTATTTTCATCGTCAATATCGAGACGGATGGACAAACAAAATACATAATCGGTGTGTTTGATACGCGTGCATTACCCAATATGTTTATTGAACTGGCCATATTCTGGCAGTCATGTTGATAAAATATTTTGGAAATAAAGGAATTTAACGAAAATAATATGAGAAAGATATTTGCATCTCGTTTAATCTAAGATAAGTAAAACGTGGTATGAATTCGGTTCATTCTCATAGCTCAAAAAAACTTATATATTATAATATATTATACCAGCAATAACTATGCAATCGCATTTAATGACATTTTCAAGGCATTTGGTGGCATGATCAAGTCACAAAAAGCAAAACCAAGTAGCTATAATTATGCTTTTAATCATTCAAATTCGCACGTTGATGGTTGTCGAAAAATTTGTTAGGAAGAAAATACTATGCGCACCATTTCTCACAAAAAGCAAATCCAGCGCTTCTTTGTGAGGTGGTGGGAATATCATACCTCAGTTTTAAACAAATTGGTATAAATGAAAGTTCAAGACATAAGTTCAAGCATGACGACTGAAAGAAAGACACAATGATAACAGACGGCAGTGTAGGCAACTTATGATATCATGACATATGAATGATTCTCAAATATCAGATACTGACCACGCGTTGATAATATGGGATTAACAATATCACAGACATGGCAACAGCAATGACTAAATGAAAACATCAAGATTAAAAGGAATTCTCGTGGAAAGAGATCGAAATATTAAAGGAAGACACGTACAAACAAACTGTGATGATTATAATTTAAAAAGAAAAGAAAATGACTTACCTGTCTTTTCTTTTGGTCGAACCGCTCCTTATCTTGTCTATCCAACTTGACCATGGCTGCGTAACTGCGATCCGATCTTCTCTCAATCTCGTTGAAGAATGACGCCGTATCGGCCAGGTCCCGGTGTATTCGTTCTCGAAGAATGGTGGAACGAAGGCGAGCGGCACGCCCCCTAACAACGCGTTGACACGTGACTACCTGAGCTCGGAGTTGATCCATTCGAGTGTCTAACTTCTCCGTGTGCCAGTACTTGAGGAAGACCTGGAGAGAGTGAAAGAGAGAGAGGGAGAGAGAGGGGAGAGAGAGAGAGAGAGAAAGAGAGAGAGAAAGAGAGAGAAAGAGGGTGTCAGATATATAGTTAAAATTCATTACACGGAAGTCGTTTATTTTCCCCACATTTTGTTGTAATTAAGTTTGTGTGTGTGTGTGTTCGAGTGTTTTTGTTTTTGTAGTGTTGCTGGTAAATAGTGTTGTTTCTGCATTTGTAAGCGACCGGTTCAAGTTTGTATTCTTTTCATTGTAAGCGGGCGGGATAAATTGTATCGAATCATAAAATTGCAATTAAAGGTATGATTTAAGCACATAATGAATTAAAAAGTTAACACATGTCAAGAAAAGGAGCGAGTTTAATCACAACATTGAAATTGTCAATAGTCGATATTGTGCCTGTCAACATGGTCAACAAAACGGGTCTCGTATTATAATGCCCAATAAACGAAAAGGTCTAATAAACTTTGCGCAATTATTGCATAAATTCGAAGAAAAATATATGAGTCAGATATAAACACTAAGGCTTGCGGAAATCTTCCTTCTCATCAAATTAATATGACACATTTATTTTAGGTTATATCGCACTGTAAACAGGCCTACATGCAATGTTTTTTAAGGGACAGTCACTAGGGAAGGAAAATGCATTGAACAACCGGAACCATGTACAGATTTTCCTTGGGATTGCAAGGGGTTGACCGTAAAACTCTGAATGACCAATCGTGTATCTTGCCTTGTCCCTCTCAAGACATCAATGACGCATCCATAGCGACAGGTTTGCGACAAGTTTGCATCAAGACATCCAAAATAATTATGAACACAAGCTGCGTCTCACGTAAACTATGGTTGCCAGGGGTGATAACAGGTGTGTTGCTCAGGAGGGGGTGGTTGAAGGGTGACGTATCATCTTCGAATATTTGTATATACCATAAAAGGAATATAACTAGATAGACTGGTCGAACGTCATTGCTTTCAAAGAAACATAGGTGATGACCAAATAAAGACGTAAAACTGCTAATGTGTGTCGATTGGCCATTTAAACAAATTAAATTTAGTTTACCTTTTGAAATTTTCAAATGACCTGAATGATTTTTTTTTTTAAATCGACATCAATTATTGGAAAAAAGAACCTATAATAGGACCAACCAGTCCGATACACTTTTTTCAGTTTTTTACAGTTTTTTTTCCGCATAGCTTTGTTCATGCAGATAAGATAATTGATAATGTAAATTCCACTATCATTCATCTTTTGATCTATGTCATCACTATGGTATAATTTTCATTTTTATCACAGTCTGTTACAATGCACTTCATTACTAAGTGTTTTGGCACTAAATATTTTTGTTCTATGCTTTTTGATAATAAAATAATGCCACTTAATAGATCGACACATATTTTACGTTTCCCAGAATCATTATAAAATTGGCAGAGTATTTGGGCAATATATGAATACAAAATACTCCTGCACCTGACCTGAGCAAGACGCATCTCCCGTTTATTTTCCTACAGCTTCCTTTAAAATAAAATAATAATACTTCCACAATCAATCATTTTCAAATAACAAACGTAAGAACATCAACTCCCCCTAGATGTTGCGGTCCTCAGATCACCCCCAACTTGCCTCGACCTCAACCACACAATTCCGCTTCAGAAAAGAGCTTTCAGGGAAAGTTTTTATTACATTATGGCGTCTTATTTTTCCGGGAAAATTAAACCTTGAACTTGTTGCTAAAATCAAACGAAATTTCAACCGCCCATGTTCAATTTCCCTTCACCTTCCAGATGCCTCATTACAACAATAAAAAGTAAAGTCATTCAATGTTTAGCTCAACATCGGGTTTCTCTTGGAAATTGACACCTGGCCAAGTTTGACCAGCTGTGTTCCATCACAAAGCAACAGATTTGCTGTCCACATCCAAAGATGACGTCACAAAAAGTTTACAGTATTGGTCAGTGAATAAACATTTCGCGAGGAACAAAAATCAAAGGAATGAGTCTGTAAGTTTTAATTTTACCGGTAGCTTTTCTGTTCTGTATTATGGTATAGTTGGTGTTTGTCATAGGGCCAATGGGACATAGGACCACTGAGAAATTTATTTACATCTTTCGTCCTACTGGTCCGACTACTCTGTCCTCATAGATCTTACGTTTTCGACATAGATGACGAAAAGTATGATCTAATATCCCTGGTACGATTAAGGGTATGGGTTTCCAAATGGTCCTATTGCTTCGTCCTCCTAGATCTTACGTTTTCGATATGGATGACAAGTATATATGATAAAAATATCCCTGGTATGATTATGGTTTTGGGTTTCTAGTTAATTTCTTTCTATGTCACATGAAATGAGTCTGCTCATAATAATTGTACCATCCTGTCGATTGCCTCAAACCATCGCGGGCAAAACAGCAATTGTTGTTTATATATACACCTTTCCGATGTTTGTCAACAACTGACGGTAATGAAAGGCACATCGAGAGGGAAAGAGATACAAAGAGAAAGAGAGGGATATCAATTAAGACAGACAGGAAGCGAAACGATAAAGACAGAAATGGGTGGAGAGATAGGGGAGAAAGAGAAAAGGGAGGGGGGAAGAGAAAAGGGAGGGAAAGAGAGAGGGGGAGAGGGGAGGGGAAAAGGGAGAGGAAGAAGAAAAAGAAGAAGAAGAAGAAGGAAATAGAGAAAGGCGAAATGGAATAGTAAGGGTTCCGATAAGACAGGCTGTAGCTTTCGTCAGTTGCTTCCATCATATATAGCTTCTAATAATAAATGGGCAAAGTTATTGAAAAGAAGCAGACGATGAGCCTTTGGTTTGCATGTTACACATAAAGAGCCTCGCTGTCAATTCGTTTTGATTCCATAAATCCGCACCCAATACCTCACATCTACATCAGCTTTCTAATCTTTCGCGCTGATGAAATAGTTACAACAATGGAAATATCACGATTTCAAAGAGTGAACATGTAGCGCTAAAGGATAAGCATAATGATATCAAGAGCAAATCATGAATGCCCATCGGCAAGATTATGACAGTTTGAAATTGAACACATTCGTGCTGCACCGGCATATTAGTTTAGATTCGGAAGAACAAAGCAAAAGGGGAAAATGGGGATTTGTCCAGAGCGGGAATACTTTGTAGGTCACAATGACAAGAAGGGGGGATTGCTCAAATAGCAGGAAGGGGAACGGAGAGTCTATAGGTGAAGGAGGGGATACTGACAACTGGACAACTTTGATTCTATTCACACTCGAAAAATAAACTTAATGTAATCGCTCCGCTGGACCGTTCCGCCTGCCTACTTCCCATGGATAGTCCAGGTCCAGGTACGCGTTTATTTCGACAGCGCTCAGAAGTCTGACATAAAATAAAACATAAACAAAAGCGCGTGCACGTACAAAAAGGGTGTGTGTGCGTGTGTTCATCCGCACGTGTGGGGTGTGTGTGTGTGCGTGCATGTGTGGTGTTCGTGAATGCTGGCGCTGTGTCCCACTAGACCCCACCTTCTCTGTTTCTCACGCGCGCTCTTATCCCAATATGTGAATAGGGTCCGTACTAGATCTCGGGGAAGTACAAGGAGTGTGGTCCCTTGTTGCAACAAAAACCCGACTCAATCAATCTTGAATCTTGACAAGACTTTGATCCAACCAGGGAATATTTCACGGCTCTCCAACGATAGAGCGGAAAACGGGATAAAACAATCCCCAGCAAAGAGAAACGGAGAACCTCCTCGGGGGAGAAGTGTACTTTCTCTCCACCATCCTTCCTGGTACACTCTAACTGGGCTTCAAAAAAATGCAAAGTCAAGCACTGCAATGGCGTCACCAGCTATTTTGGGCGCCAGTTTGTGTAAACTTTTGAGGAATGCACGTACTCATTCGTTTAGACCCTTCCGCTGCACAGTTCACGCCAAGAAACTCAAATGTACACCCCGTGTATTTTAGCACACACCCTTTAGTAGTTTGGGTTCACTTTTGTGTTTTTACTGACTTTAAGTATTACGAAATGTGATATTTTTAGCTTTAACCATAGTACACAAGTTTCTTCACCCAATCTTGAACTCTCGGCGTGTTAGGAGGTAAAATTGAGTTTATAAACCGTTCGTCAAATTCTATATTGCGCTAAATTGTAAATGAAAACAAATGAATTAACTAAGTGAATAGTGAAGTGCAAAGAAAGTTTATAATCATGTATTATGAAATCAATCTTACTATAAAGACCATTGAAATTAAAGATAACCACAAACAAATTCTACATTTATTTAGATTTCTCTTTTATGCTGCCAGAAATACAATAAATTGGCATAGAGTCATGAATATAATAACCACACGGATGAGCCAGTTATCTCATTTTCGTCACACAAAAATGTTGGCACATTTCTGTGTCATTTCAGAGTAATAGTTTAATTCAAACATTGTGTTCGGCAAATGTAATAAATATGGTAGTAGAAACGTTATTGTCTACTACAAGAAATAGATTACATACATAAATATTGAAACAATTAAGGACTAGCATCGAATTGAATTAGCCTGGAGTTCTGGCAAGCTCAAGTATTGCAAGCAGCAACATTCAATACAAATAATGTCCCAAGTATTTATGTACTAATCTGTCACATGGACACTACGACAAATTGGACATGTATGTGAATCTAAAGTACTTCTAAAACTAACTGAATGCATGCCACTTCATGCGTCATATATCTCAATTGAATAATACGTAAGGGATGCGCCCTTAATCTGTTCATGCAAATAAACAGCAATTGGTTGACATCAATGTTCCAAACTATTTTTATAACGGCACCCCTTCTTCACCGGAACCGTACGCACGATTTGAAATTGATTTTACAATGAGTAAGGATGCAAAATGTAATGAGACAACAAGTTAACGAGAAAGGGGAAATATAATTATCTGAAAATAATATAAGTAACACGAGGAAGGGTTATATCAAGCGGAAATAGGCCTTCGCAGAATTACAATCAAAAGAATATGAAAAGCGCA